CCTGCAATTCCATTACCAGGTATGTGCCCAGAAGAAAAAAAATGTTTTCTATCATAAGGACATTTGCACTAGACTGTTTATTTCACCTCAATTTACACTCACCAAAATGTGGAAACAACCTAAATGCCCACCAACCCAGGAATGGATGAACAAGCTGAGGTATATGTATACCATGGAATACTATTAAAAAAGATAGAGACTTTACATCTTTTGTATTAACCCGGATGGAGGTGGAACACATTCTTCTTAGTAAAGCATCACAAGAGTGGAAAAACAAAAATCCAGTATACTCAATTCTACTATATGAAGGCAGTAGATGAACTAATACAAGGGGAGGTGGGGGAATGAGGGAGTGGGGACAGGGGAGGAGGGAGGAGGATGGGGGGTCACGTTGTATGGCACACCTCTTGGGGGTGGGAAATAATTATAAGAGGTACTTTATCTAACAAATGCAATCAGTGTAACCTAATTCTTTGTACCCTCAATGAATCCCAAACAATAAAAAGAAAAAAATCTGTCAACCTCTCTTCAAAGGGCATAATCCTGAAGCTGCCTGGTTGACTTCTGTTCACACCCCCATTGGCCTGACTGAGGTTATGTGGCCACCACAGCTATCTGGAAGGTTGAGAAATGTAGTCTGAGATGGCCATGTGTGCAGCAGGGACTGACTGGTAGAGGACAGCCAGCTGACTTTCTGCTCAGGACCACGTATCCTTCAGCCAGACTGTGGCACCTGTTACCAGCTCATTCATCTGTCTTAGATTCTGAGTTTATGAACAAGGTCTTGCTGTTCATTACTAGCCATGATGGTTTCTTTTGCCATCTCTGCCTTTCCTTCCTTATTGGGTTAATTTGCTACAACACAGCCAGGGTTCCATGCAAGAACTGACTTTCCTCGCAGAATCTACTTCCCAAACACCTTCGGACTCATGTGGGGGGTATGTGCCTGACCATCCAGACTCCTTCCACTTCCAGTCACAAGTCTGCATGGGCACTGCCATGTCACTGTTCTCCGTCTCTGTAAGAACGTGGGCCAAGGCAGCACTTCCTTTCTGCCTCTGGGGACAGAAAGCAGTTGTAGGCAAATTCAAAGCTTGTCACCCCCCTTGTTGGTGGGTATGAGGCCCTCATAGATGAGGTCTACCCACCCCATTCCTGCAATATCCTCTCTCTGCCCCATGTGGTCTGGGCCAGGACTTTCTACCATTCTCTCCCACATTGATAACATGAAGTCCCTCAGGACTGAGGATTTCTTTTCTTTTCTTTTTTTTTTTTAGAGAGAGTCTCACTTTGTTGCCCTGGGTAGAGTGCCATGGTGTCACAACAACCTCCAGCTCTTGGGCTTAGGCGATTCTCTTGCCTCAGCCTCCTGAGTAGTCTCCCTGTGGGGAACTACAGGCACCCACCAAGCACTGAGGATTTCTGAAGCAGGCATGTAGCTTCTGCCTCTTTTCAACTTCCTCCCTAGGCTATATCTAGTCTTTAGCCTTGTCACGTCATCCTGGCCACACTCACGAGATCACATTTACCACACTATGTGCTGGCTTCACAGTGGCCTTGCTCATGACTCACACACTGTCTGCACATGAAATGCAGAGCAACGAAGAATCAGGTCTGAGGCAAATTTTGAAAACCTGGTATGTGGTACATGTGGAAAAACTAAAAGAATTAGGGGTTCCCAGCTCAGAACTCTGCATGGTCACCATCCTCAGACAGTTGAAGGGTGTCATGTGGAAAAGAGATTAGAACATTTCTACAAGGCTTCTAGGAAATTTGACTTTTTAAAAATGAGCAAATGTTACTTTGGTAAGTGGGAAAACAAATAACAAAGATATACACATGAGATAAGACTTGTTCTGAATTGCCAAGAATGGAAAAACTGGGATCAAAGCAAAATGATTTCTGATGCAAAATCAAAAAAGAACCTTCTCAGAAGTGGAGCTCTCCAATATGAGGTTAGTTGCTCTGAGAGGTAGAGATTCTTGTTTTTTGATGAGATTGAAATAAGTGATGAATGACCACTTGATTCCAAGAAAAATGAGGGGTTTAAGAAAGTGGCTATCCTAGGCTATGTTTCTTTGATACAAAGAGGAACCTTCTCAAATTATCTTGGGTTATAGGGGATATTGGAGAAGAAATCAGTTCTTGTTGACTCTGAGGCTGCAGGAAGAGTGGGAATGAGATCAGCTCCACCATGGTGACTCAGCTCTCAGCTCTCTGTTGCTGGGTTTTGTAATTCAAGTTCTTTCCCAAGAATTTGAAAGGCCCTTGGCAGAATATGGATTTGGCTTGCCCTGAGTCAGGCATTCCGTCCTGGTCCAATCAGCACTTCACTCATGGGAGTGGAGTCTCATGATTCAAACATAAAAACATGGTGACAGAGACCATCGATACAGTGGGTGGAAACATTCTCAGAAAAGTTGGGTGGGGAAACAGACACCCTCAAAATGATGTTTAAGGTCCTATCCATACTCAGGGCTCAGTGATGCTTGAGTCAAAAGTAATTTCAAGCAGATGCTGTTCTTCATGTGGTTGGAAAGAGGTTAGGGCTGATTCCCATTCAGTTGAAGGCATGAGCTTGAGTTAAACTGAGGGACAGCAGAGGTAAAAGCAGAGCCAAGGGAGAAGAGGCAGAAAGGGGTCAATAAACCCATTGGGCAACTCTCAGACCTTGGTGGGTCACCTCCTGGGACATGGATTGTCCACGACAGAGACATCCAGGAGCTGAAATACAAGTTACACTGCACCTAGGTCCATGCAGGCTCTTTCTCATGCAATTTTAAATATAAACTTTAACATTTTAGAAAAGTTTAGATTTGCAGTGAGCTTGTACAAGTGATACAGAGCTCCTATATATCCCACACCCATTTCCCCTGCTAGTAACATCTTACATTACTAGATGAATACTCCCAACTCCCCTAAATTCATATGCTGAATCCCAACACCCACCGTGATGGTATTGGGAAGGCAATAGATGATGGCCTTTGGGAGGCAATTAGGTCATGAGGTAGAGCCCTCATCAATGGAATTAGTGTCCTTATTATTATTATTAAATAATTAATAATGGCTGGGCATGGTGGCTCATGTCAGCAATCTTAGCACTTTGGGAGGCTCAGGTAGGAGGATCACTTGAGGCCAGGAGTTCAAGTCTAGCTTGAGCAAGAGTGAGACCCCATCTCTACAAACAACAGAAAAATTAGCTGGACATGGTGGTGCATACCTGCTGTCCCAGATACTTGCCTATGGTCTCAGGGAGGGAGAGACAAGAGGAGTGCTTCAGCCCAAGAGTTTGAAGTTGCAGTGAGCTATGATCATGCTGCTGTATTCTAGCTCAGGCAACAAAGCAAGACCCTGCCTCAATAATAATAATTATTATTTAGGGGCAGCGCCTGTGGCTTAAAAGAGTAGGGTGCTGGCCCCATATACAGGAGGTGGCAGGTTCAAATCCCGTCCCAGCCAAAAACTGCAAAAAAAAAAAAATTATTATTATTTAGAAATGGTGTCTCACTATGTTGCCTGAGTTGGTCTCTGACTCTTGGCCTCAAGTGGTCCTCCTATCTCAGCTTCCCAAAGTGCTATGATTAGAAGCGTGAGCCATTGTGCCCAGCCAGGGATTAGTGACCTTCTAATGAGGCCTGAGGGAGTTTGTTCATCTCTTCCTCCATGTGGGGACATAGCAAGAAGGTGTCATTTGTGAGGAACAGGATTTCAATAAATGCTGAGTTCATCAGTGTCTTCCCATCCTCTAGAACTGTAAGAAGTAATTTCTGTTTTTTATAAGCCATCCAGTTGATGGTAGTTCATTGTATCAGCCCTAGTGGACTCAGACACTATAGAACATTGTGAGCCCTATGTTCAAGGGACCCACAGTCCTCTAGGGAATGCTACCAGCCATGTGATGAGTGTGTGGGGAAATCCAGGGAAGGAGGTCATAACCCAGCTGGTGGAGCTGAAGCCAACAGTCAGGGAAGGGGCTGATGTTGGGACGTGGTTTTGCAAGATATCAGCAAGACATCCTGTCACCAGCCCAGGCATGTTAGAACAGGTGGCAGATGGGGGGG